ATCTATCTATCTATCTATCTATCTATCTATCTATCTATCTATCTATCTATCTATCTATCTACCTATCTATCTACCTATCTGTCTACCTATCTGTCTACCTATCTGTCTACCTATCTGTCTACCTATCTGTCAGACAGTCTCTCTCTCTCTCTCTCTCTCTCTCTCTCTCTCTCTCTCTCTCTCTCTCTCTCTCTCTCTCTCTCCTCTCTCTCCCAAAATTATTTTCTCATCTATTCTTTCATTTTAGTTATCCCTTTTCTTTCGATCAGCTATCCCATAATATTGTCACAGTGACATCAACAACTATTCACCTTTATAATAAAAACATTTTCTTTTCAAGCAAACACATAGAACACACCCAAAAAAGCACCAGGGTCAATTCCCAGTTTGAGGTGTGTATATATTGGTTGACTCATTTTGTTTAGTTTTTTGGCATCTTTCGAACATTTTTTTACCCCAGTGTAAGAAGAATTGAGTATGCATTATATAAATCTAGTCTTCTCGGACAAGGGGGGAAAAAAGTAAGTAAATGGTGAGTTTCGAGTTTTCGTCAAAGGCCCACTGGCTACTGGCGACAGTGAAAGTAGCCAAAGTAAGAGAATAAGGAAAATCAAGCCCTCTCTCAAGGCTGTGGAGCGCTGTTATGTACTCATCTAAACAAGGATTCCTACAAAAACGTCATGCAGCTGCCTGAAATTTGAGGGAGATTACGTTCTAATGGAAAAGAATAGCGAGAAATATGAGATGCTCCGTGGGTGGAAGAAACTGAAAATTGGTGGGAGAAAGCAAAAGGAAGAAGAAAAGACATAGCTTTAAGAAATGCCGCATCTTCTCACAAGTTTATCCACATAAACCCGTGATAAAAAAACAAATATGTTTCATTATTCAAATTGTCAGTCTACACGCCTATCATTATAACGCCATTTCGTGCGAGTTGGTCACAGTATGGCTATCACTGCTGTAGCAAACATTAAACTTAGTACCGTAATGCTGATTGTTTTCTTTTCTCTATGACAACAGTAAATCAAAACAGAAAACAGTTTACATTATGCAGAGGGGTTCGGGAGCTCATCAACTTACAGCGAGAGGGGTGTGAAGTGTGAAGTGAGTGAGAGAGACAGAGACAAAGAGAGAAGGGGGAGAGGGAGAGAGAGGGAGAGGGAGGTGGGGGGCGAGAGAGAGAAAACGACGAGCGAGATAGAGATAGAGACGGATACACACAGAGAGAGAAAGGGAGAGAGAGAGTGAGTGAGTGTGTGTGTGTGT